TTTTGAAACATAAGGCCCTTATTCTTTTCTGCTTATTTTGATCTCACCTATTCTTCCTCAAAGCTGTTGTCTTGGTATATGTATCACCACTACGGCACTACCACTGATGTATTATTATATACTCATTTAGAAATACTTATGTGTTAATTATCCGATGGGATAGTGATTATTTTGACTTATTTGCTTTAACCAATCATCACCAATCAAAAAATATACTAATCTTTGATTTTTTTCTTTTTATTTGTGTAATGTTTTAATTTTATAGTAATTGTTTGATATTCATTTATTTTTTCTTTTTTACTTGTGTAACATCTTTACTGGTAGAAACATGACTATTGTAGTAATTAGCCTTAAACAAAATGATTTGTACATACAAAAGTGACGGTAAGTCTTTTTTTTAAAAAGATATTGAGTAGTAGGATTTGGTTAAAAAGAAAAAATTGAAAAATTTGGATCAGACTAATTTCATTTGTTTTAAAATAAGGTTATTATTTGAATTGTAATAGGTAAAAAGAATAGAGGAAAAAATACATTAACTTTTAAAAAGTAGTCATGTTATATTTTAATAAAAAAAATTAGATTCAAAACATTATTTCATATCTTAATTGAATTAAATCAATAAATTAGCAATTACACTAAAGTCATTAATAATTATATATAATCAGTGTTAATTCACGTCTCAACAAATAGTAATATATAAATCAACTAAAATAAATAAAGTTATGTCCATCAACTCAAAAATAAATTAAGAAAAAATTGAAGTGAAGGACATGTAATGAATTGACAGCAAAATAGAAAGGTCAAATTGGAAAAATCTAACAATACTACATAGAAATTCATCAATTAAAAATGCAAGATTACAACATGACTATTGTAGTAATTAGCCTTAAACAAAATAATTTTTACATACAAAAGTGACGGTAAGTCTTCTTTTAAAAAGATATTGAGTCGTAGGATTTGGTTAAAAAGAAAAAATTGAAAGATTTAGATCAGACTAATTTTATTTATTTTAAAATAAGGTTATTATTTGAATTGTAATAAATAAAAATAATTAAAAGAATAGAGGGAAAAAATACATTAGCTTCTAAAAAGTAGTCATGTTGTATTTTAATAAAAAAAAATTGACTAAAAACATTATTTCATATCTTAATTGAATCAAATCAGTAAATTAGCAATTACATTAAGGTTATTCATAATTATATGTGATCAGTGTTAACTCACGTCTCAGCAAAGAGTGATATATAAATCAACTAAAAAAATAAAGTTATGTCAATCAACTCAAAAATAAATTAAAAAAATTAAAATGAAAAGGAAATAAGAATTACTTGATTTTAAAACCTAGTAATATCAATCTACTTAATTAACAATAATAACAATGACTTTACCAAAAGAAAACAATAATAATAATGAACTTAAAAATCATATTAAGAAAAGACTAATAACTATTTAACATACAATCATGTTAAAAAGTGCTTCAAGTTATGTATAAATAATACTTTTCATTCAAGTTAAAACAATATTATCAAAAGAAAAAAATTAAACTTTAGGTCATGTAATGATTTGGCAGCAAGATAGAAAAGTCAAATTAAAAAAATCTAGCAACACTTAATAAGATTTTATTAATTAAAAATGCAAGAATATAATCTAGAAATAATAATTATTGAGGAAAGGCTATTAAGTAAAAACTAATATATTAATATGAATAAAAAATAAAGAATTAAAGAAATATATTTACAAAAGGGTTATTATTTGAATCAAACTATTTTTATTTATTTTAAAATAAGGTTATTATTTGAATTATAATAGGTAAAAATAATTAAAAGAATAAAGGAAAAAATACACTAACTTCTAAAAAACAACGTACATGCAAAAAAAATATCAATGTCTTTACCAAGATCATTGACTCATTATCATTGATTATGAAAATAATATCCTTACTAATCATAATTTTTTGTTGAAGATGATAATTTTAAACAGATGCAAAAACAAAAAACTACACTATCCAACAATAAAATTTATAACTATTATAATTTATGAAAAAAAAACCTTTTCATCACCAAAATCATCTTCAGAAAATTTGTTTGCAATAGATTCTTAAACTCTGGCAACCTCCACAATCTTATTATACAAACTCTTATATTTCAATCAGTTTTCTCTGCTGCAATGTCCTTTAGTAATGTATACCTCTGAGTCATGTCCTTTAAAAAGAAGATGAAAGTAAAAAGGAAAAAAACTTTTAATAATATGTTCACTATACATACAAGCTTACCTAAAAATGGTTTTCCTATCATTGATAGAGAAAATGTGAATCCTCATATTAGAAGTACAAAAGTACCCAAATTAGAAAGTGGACAATTTATATATGGAGAGAGTATTTTTAGAAATAAAAAGTATGATAGAGTAGGACAATCAGAATGAAGTTTTGAAAAAAAATGCCTTAAAAATTAGAAGATAGTTGAGATCAATTGGCATTGAAAAACTGCAACCAATACATAGAAAATAGATATCCATAATTACTTCTCTGAGTGGAAGATAAAGTGAAAACAATTTGATAAAAAACGTATGAAGTAGAGAGAAAGAGGAAGAGTTTATGGTATTATATGATTGGGTTCAGATCTCATGCAATGTTCTTTTGTTAATAAGAATTATCAATTGACATTAAAAAATTGTAATCAATGCATAATGTTCTTGCTGGAAATCTGTTGTAGAGCTGATCCGCTAGGTAAGATCGATGAGCCTCCTTCGCTGGTACGCTTGATACTCCAAGATGAGGGTGGTACCTGCAAAAGAGACTCCGATGCTAAAGTTAGTGTTTGTGGGAGTATGAATCTCGTATAAATAATGCACGTACCTTAGTGTGAATTAGGGTTGCTTTGGGCCTTGGGCCTGAGATTTCTAAAATTTAAATTTATTAACTTTAGTTTTTATTATTATATACTCATTTAGAAATACTTATGTGTTAATTATCCGATGGGATAGTGATTATTTTGACTTATTTGCTTTAACCAATCATCACCAATCAAAAAATATACTAATCTTTGATTTTTTTCTTTTTATTTGTGTAATGTTTTAATTTTATAGTAATTGTTTGATATTCATTTATTTTTTCTTTTTTACTTGTGTAACATCTTTACTGGTAGAAACATGACTATTGTAGTAATTAGCCTTAAACAAAATGATTTGTACATACAAAAGTGACGGTAAGTCTTTTTTTTAAAAAGATATTGAATGGCATGAGTAGGAGCCTTGCTGACTTCATGGGTCGGCTTTTGGGTCGGGGCATGAGACCGATGTGAAGCGGGTCTGGGGGGTGGGACCCTAGTTACAGTCCGGGATTGGGAGACTGAGTGCTCCTCCTCTCCATTATGGTTGCTCGTATGAGGAGGATGATCAGAGTGGTGTCGAGGGAGTTGAGCGCGGATTCGCTGTTGCCAGGTCGGCCTCATTAGCGGTATGCATTGCCGCTAGGTCAGTGTCGTGCTTGGCACGCATGTTTTGTAGGTCAGTGGCATGTTGCTGCCGCATCTGTTCGACCTGATCGATTAGTCTCCTCAACGCTGCTTCGTTATCCATGGTGGTTGAGTGGTTTGCGTCGTCTGTTGTGCGTCTACTATGGCTTCTAGTGAAAACCATAAGCGTGGCCGATAAGAGCTGTCTTGATCGGCCCCACGGTGGGCGCCAAATGTTCTTACCGGAAATCTGCTGTAGAGCTGATCCGCCAGGTAAGATCGGTGAGCCTCCTTCGCTGGTACGCTTGATGCTCCAAGATGGGGGTGGTACCTGCAAAAGAAACTCCGATGCTAAAGTTAGTGTATGTGGGAGTATGAATCTCGTATAAATAATGCATGTACCTTAGTGTGAATTAGGGTTGCTTTGGGCCTTGGGCCTGAGATAAGATATGATAAGATTAGATAGTGGATCTCGTCTGAAGCGAGATCCCTCGAGATCAGTTATGATCTGCTTAAATGCCGAGCTGACGTCGCATAGCGTGTGCCCGACCTCATCTTGTGCTGTGATGCCGAGCTCGGAGCTCGGTTTCGCGGTACGGGCAGTACACATAATAAATAAATATCCATAATTACTTATTTGAATGGAAGATAAAGTGAAAGCAATTTGATGGGAAACGTATAAAATAAAGAAAAAGAGGAAGAGTTTTTCTTCTGTTCATAAATATTAAAGGTTTAAAATTTATTATATTAAAAAAATAAAATTCAGAATAATTATGATAAGATAAAATTACATAAATACCCTTATTTTGAGTGGGAAAAGAGAGTCATGGTCCCATGGACTTCCTTCCTTTAATTATAATAAAGATAAAGATTTTAGCAATCACAATCTAAAAATTTATTATATAAACTTAAAATTTATATAAATAAATAATATATTTATATGTATAAATTATATTTAAAATTTGTACAAATTAATATTTTAGAATGTGTAAATTATTTTTTAAATTTATAATAAATAATTTATATTATAACACAAGATTATCTTTAATTATTGATATTTTTTAAAATAATAAATTTTATTTAAAAATAAATATAATAAATAAAAATTAATTTAAATTAAATAAGAATTTAAAATAAATTCTAATTTATTCAGTAAAAAAAATAGATAAAAATATTTTTACTAAAAAAAATCTCTAAAATATCTCTCATTTAAGTTAACGGGTAATGTTTAATATATAAAAATAAACCTATAAGATCGTGTCTATGATATAAAATAAAATAAAAAGATAAAATAAACGAGTAGTTAATTTTTTTCTATAAATAATTACATCTTTATTCCATATAGTTTATTAAAGTATAGTTTTCCTTAAAAGGTGAAAATCAAAAAAGAAAATATCTCTTTGTAAATTGCTATATATATTATCCTACAATTACTTTTTTGTAAATTATAAATTTGTATACTTTTTAACAATTCACTATTTATTTTTATTTTTTCAAAGGAGAGAAACAATTGCTTTTCTTTTTTCCTGGTATTATTATATAAATTGCAAAATGCTCTCATAAAAGTCTTGCCGCATCGTTTAATGTATGAGCCAACACTTAGAGTGTGTGACTATCACCACTCTCTCCAAGCAGTGACTTCTCATAAACTTTCCATTCGCTTTCTGCATTTCGACTCTTGTATGTATGTTTCTGAAACCGATCAAATTATTTTTTTTCCGTTATTTTATATATTTGTAGCTTTTAGACATATCACGCATTCTGTTTTTTGTATGTTGTTCATTCAAGCGAAGGTGAAAATGTGTTATCTTTGCGATCAAACAAGACACTGTTGCGTTTGATTTTGAAAATTGCCATGTAAAACCTTATTTCCCTTATTCTTTTTAAGGAATGTCACTGTCAAAGAGTCTGAAATTCATCCCTGGTAAAGTTTGGTTTTTGGTGATTATACATCATGCATGTTCAATCCAAGTCTGTCTCTTTGTTATCTGATAATTGTTGTTAATTTTGCTCTGCCAGTTATGTTCTCTCTCTCCCTCTCTCAGTTTTTTTTTTCTTGACATTTAAAGAAAAATGACTTTTGGTCTGACTAAACCAAATTTAGTGGGTGGAATGGAATGATTTAAAAGGAGAAAAGCTCTCCAAGTTCTTTTTTTTTTTTAATTTATTTTCATCCACAAAATTCAATCTTAAGAACTTGTTGACGGGGAATCAAGTTCTTTATCATTGGTACCTTTTTTACTTTTTTTACTATTTTTTATTATTTAATTTTATGCTTAGAAAAGTGTTTGTTTCTGATAATGCAATTTTTATTCGGGTAGACTTTTGTCCTTTTCTTTTTCTCTGTTATATTTTAAAAAGAATTATTTTGAGAATTTTTCTTAGTTTAGGTCAATGGCTTGTCAATAAACATCGTTCAGGGTAAAGTGCTATGACGACATTTGTTTCATAATATAGCTGATTCCACCTAGTGGAAAAATGCTTGTTGTTCCGAGAAATCTCGGTAGTTTGTGTTCCCCTCCTTGCACACGCAAAGGGACTCATGCACTTGTTTCTCAAGTTTGTTCTGTCAAACAATAATCAAGGTTTTTATTTGGTTCTCCTACGTATGTGGCTTCTTACAGCACAAGGTGACTGGCTTTGAAAATCACTTAAAAGAACATGGCTCCAGGAGACGTTTGTCCGACTGAGGATGCAATTAATGTATTCATAGAGCTCTTGGTTGACCCATTGCTGCCAGCAAAATCATGTGTCCAGGATACTCCCACACTATCTCAACAGAAGTTAGTTGCAAAACAGGTGTCTTTTTTTGCATCGTTTATACTTGTATAAGTATCCAACAATTTACCTATGTGATATATTTTTGGACACTGTCTTAGGACATGTTGTTTTTCTTTATGGTTTGTTTTATTACGTGTTTGGAGGATTATTGGAGATGTTGATTTTAAGAATGATACAACATATTAGAGATTTTCTTTTCACTTTTATGGCTTCCTTAGTGTAATGATTCTATATACATCATTTCTATGTTTTGCCTGCTTGGAGTGTAGAAAGCATATGTTTAAACAAAATTTTGATTTTAGAGTTGACAGAGTAACAATTCTGGTGTTAACCATCATTCTTTGAATTTTTTGTATTTTTATCTTAATAATCATTCTATCAATGCTGAGATGATTATGTAATGTGCAGTCCAAGTCTGCACAGTGCATTTTCAAATAATTGGGTATTTTATTTGCATTTTAGAATAGAGAAATGCAAGCAACACACTTTTTAAAGTACAGTCTCTACTAGTGATTGAAATTTATTGGAAATACCAATTCATTCCTCATTTAATAGCTTCCTCTCTTGATTTTGTAGTTTTCCATAAATTTTAACCAATAGTCGAGTATGTGTTAGAAGGAGTGTGTTGCTGAAACTCCTCTTTAGATTATATAATAACCACTTCTTATGTGACATCTTTGATTTTGGGGTTGGCCAGTATTATTCAAATAAATAAATAAATAAGCTGAATTGTCATTTTCTTTTATATTTAAAACATTCTTTAGCAGAATGTACTTTATATTTTAATGTATCTTAGATTTATGGGAACATGAGGAGAATATCATCATCACTAGTTACTGATTTTTCTGTTTGAGGTTTTTGGTGTTAGGTGCGTTCAGTTGTCTTACTGTACAACTACTACCACAGGAAACGACATCCAGAGCTAGCATATCTGCCATTTAATGAATTTTGCAAGGTGGCTGTGGTTTCGAGGCCAGCTTTATTAGCATATATGCAATTCATGCAAAATTTAAATGAAGTAGAGCTCACTGATGTGGAGACGCAGCTATCCTTGACAGAAAAAATAATTATGGATGCATGTGATGTATGTAAATGTTTAGATGCATCAAAGAATGTTCCTAATATACAGGGATGGCCCATTACAAAAGTTGCTATATTTTTAGTTGATAGTAAGAAGGAGAACTGTTTTTTGCTGTTTAGTTCCATTACCAGTGGGGTATGGTCTCTAGTTGAAAAAGATCTGGACACCTCCAGTCAAAGTTCTCTGGTTGAAAAAGGTCCGGAAACCTCCAGTCAAAGTTCTGATGTTACATCAGGAACAAAACAGTACAAAAAGAAAAGAGTCATTAGAAAGCCTATCAAAGATGAATCAAAAGTTGATGAAGATATATTTCTGCAAGTTGGGTATTCTGCTATAAGGGAAGCCACAGGTAATTATCCTAATTGTTGAATTCAGAGTGGGGGTTGGGGGGCGTAGAACAGAATATTTTTTAGATAATTCAGAGAATGAGGCGTTGTTATTCAGTAAAAATATAGTATGTTGTTGGTGCAACACATCTATGGTGTAGAGTACTTCCAAAAGTGAAGGAATTTTCTCCCTTCCTAAAGTCTGAACTAGAATAAGGTCATATTTCGAGTTTGAGCTAGCAAGAAACTTAAAGATCCTCCCTTTCTTGATGAACTTTGTGTCCAAATCCTCACTTCACTTCATCTTCAAGTTTTGATATTGGTCCAACTCAATCCATTTAAGTTCCCTAATAGTTGGTCACTTAAAGAGTTCCTTGCTCAGAATTGAAGATGTTATTTTCTAATCCATAGTCACTAAGAGAGGTCCCTGCTTGGTATTAAAGATATTATTTTCTAATTCATAGCAACCAATAATATTGTGTTTTGTAGAGTAAGTCCAGTGCAAGTTATCCCAAATCTACTCCCCAAGCACTGAAGAACATGTAATTCTGATATATTTGCACCCGACCTGATAGTTAATGTTTCATTCTCTCTTAATTATAGTGTTAACATGTGCTTCTGATACATAAATAGCTGAATATCATTCTTGTACTGTGCTACAGGTATCAATGACACTGATATTAAGGTTTTGGAAAGTGACACTGTCTATTCTGAGAGCAAAGAGAAGGCAGCATCTCGCTTTTATATAATGCAGTGCTCCCAATCGACCAATGAAGAAGCTATTCAAGTTCCTCTCAAAGATCTAGTTAAAAGGTTCGTTTTAATTTCTACTGTTTGATGGCTCGGGTCCCAAGGGTTCTGATGACAGGGAAATGGGGCTTTTTTCTGTCGGGCATTCAGGCGGAGTCATCTGTATTTTTTTTTCCTGCTGCAAAGTAAAATATACTTGCTTATACTTCAGTACTAGATATTAATGTCACTTAATACTGAATCAAGTCATGAAATAGTTTATAAATCTTTGATAATTAAATATTATATTTCCCTTCCATTTTGATATTCTAAAAAATTGTAATTTTTACAATTGTTTGTGGGAAGATAGGATGACTACTTGTTGTCAGAATGTTGCAATCTTATCAAAAGGGTGTATGTAACAGTACACCAAAGAATGATGTCTGCAGTAAGTGGAGCTGCACATTCTATTGCTTCTGAAATAATAGTTTTGTTCTAAATTTAATTCTTAGACTTGTCTCTAAGCTTACAAGTAACCATCACATAAAAGTAAAGTTGACTTGTATATGAACCACTTACCACTAGGGTCAGTCTAGTGGTGGGAGCTGGGGTAGCATGTACAAGGTCCTAGGTTCTTGCTTTATTGCAGTCATTTTAATTTTTCTTACTGATAAAATAAAAAGTTGACTCATATATGTATCTGGATAACATTTGTGTCTTCTTTTTGCATAGCTTGCATGGTCCTTTGATCAGTAAGAGTTCTAGAAGTTGGGCGATCACTCCAGTAGTTGATTACTTCCATGTGCTTCCTTACTCTGAAATAATCTCAAAGTGGATTTTAAGGTTGGCATTGTTCTCCTGTCTAAAACATCTTTATTTAGATTCATATAGCAGTATTTTGAATCCCATATTCCATAAGCAATGTTATTTCACTTTTATGCTTGATGACTTCATCAAGTATACTTGACTCTAGGTCACAATTGTTAACATTCAGTTGTACTTTATGCTTGTTTGCTTCATCAAGTGTTAACATTCAGTTGTACTTAAAATTACAATCTTCCACAAGTAATAAAGTAAGGTTAATGTATGAGAATTCCAAATATTGATGAACCTTGTGGCTCATGGAGTCAGCACTCTCATGGTTGGATGATTTGCAGAAATATGTTCCAAACTCATTCATGCATTGGCTGTCTCAAATCCTTAACACAATGTCCCTCTATCATTCATTTCCAGTTTTTGTTTACTATCTCCATGAGGTTCCCTTTTTTATGTAATATATTCTATCTTGGCAGAGTAGCATTCTCAAATAGTTTGCTAGATTCAAGGGTAACAGAGAAAAATATAAAGGTGGGCACCCCTGAAGTAACAGAATTATATGTAAATAAGGAGACATTTACTGCTGTTGATAATAAACCAAATGGTGATAATATTGATTCACTGAAGCAGAAAGAGAACAATGGAAGTTGTACACCTGCATTATCTGATTCTATCAGTGAGCCCATGGAAATAATTGTGAATGGATATCCAATTTTCAAATCCCAGTACAAAGAAAAATGCAAGAATATTATTGCCAATACTGTACAAGTTGGTGAAGATCAAGAAAAAAACAATCTAACTGTGAAGTATAACTCTAATGGCTCTGCAAGTGGTGTTAAGGTTAGAAACGTGTCTGCTTTCTATTTATTGAGTTGATTGCTTCCTTAGATCGTGTTTGGATGTGCATTCTCTGATTACCTTTTCTAATAATTGTGTTTCTTTTTTTTTTTTTTTGGGGGGGGGGGGTGTTGACAGCTAAAATTATGACTTCTTTTTTTAGCAAGAATTTTTGCTTCTAAGAACTCAAGTCCCACAGACTAGAGATAATGGAAAAATAAATTCAATAAGTGGGGGCAATCCTCTCCTTACAAGCTAAGCTGATTTTATAAGGTTGAGTTAGGTGCAATTCTACTTTCTAAGAAAACTCAAGCTTTGTGCTCTTATAGGTAACCTGATATAGCTACATGGGAATCCTTAATGCAAAAATGCTCCAAAATTAGAAACTTGCCTATATTGTCTGTATGCACATCATATGCTTTCTGCCATATTTTTGGCATATTTGGGAATATTGGTTTGGATTATATGCAAAAATAACTGGATGTGGATAGAAATCAAATTTACTTACAAAATCATCGCCTTTTGTCATGACCATTTAATTCTGGATCAACTAAACAATACATCAACTTACCTTTTCTGACACTAATTTATGTATACCTGCACAAGTGGAACTAGGGTACCATTTTTCTTAACTCGTTTTTGGATTTCTCTTCACTTTTAAAGGAGAAGCTGGGCTAAATAATTTTAGAAAAGTACTTGAAAATAAAGTATCTTTATTTTGATGAACAAAAGTCCTTAAAAAGAGCTTCAGTTAGCTAATTAGAGGGCTTTTGCTTTTTAAGGAGAAGTAAAGCTCAAAAAAGCTAGGCCAAACACTACATAAGAGGTTGCTATACTTTATTAAAAATTTCCTCTGTATGTGTACCAATCTTTTTTTTTAATTTGTAAATATTCATAAGATTGTTAAATGGTTCATGTTCAGTATTCAAGTAAAACTTTTCTAAATGAACTTTAAACTCTATTCCAATGTTTAATAACTCATCAAAATTATGTTTCTAAATGAGCTGCACCTCACTGCTATCATGATTCTTGAGCTTAATTCTGCTGTGTATTATCTCTGATCAAGCTGAATGTCATTGGTTTGACAGGCCATAGAGGTTGATTCAGCAAGGATGATTGCTGAAGGTGGAATCAACAATCTTGATTCCAATAGGCCTAATACCTCATCTGAAAAAGGCACACTTGATGACAGTACACAGACTACAAATCATTCTGACTCAGATCCAGTGAAGCTCCAAATTCTTTCAGATTCGAAAAATATATTGTCTCAAACTGCCCTAGCTTCTTTGCTACGAAAGAGGAATGAATTGGTAAAGCTTGTCATTGCTTTCTTCTAATGACAGGAATGATTGTACTTTATATCCATTCTCAGTAGCTATGCCCAGGCACCGAGAACATACACTTGCTATTATCCTAGGACTACATAAATACATGTTATCTTAAAACATATATATACATGTCTATGAATAATTAACTTTTACTTTCAAAAATAACTAGCACATAGTATGCAATGCACATGCTCCCATTCACTGTGTGCCAAATGTTGGTACTGTATTATAATCAAAATGTATTTGGACCATTAAAATAGTATTCTGCCTGTTTTGCTGCTTCACCCATGACCCATCAACTGCTCCCATAGCTGTACCTGCTTTACTGGTTTTACTTAATTTTAAGGCTTACCTTGCTACTATGTTTTGAATGTTCAGAAATTCCATATTTGTATTTATCTTAGACTGTTACTCCATTCAGGCCCTTCAGCAGCGCAAGATAGAGGATGAGATAGCTGTTTGCGATAGAAAAATTCATACAATGGTAACGGGTATGTTTTCCTTTCACTGTTCTTTGTTTTGTTTCTCTGTTGCACTATTATATCACTATGATTCTCCTATTATTTATAGTGTTTCTAAGGGTTTATCTTTATCCTCACCTTATTGCTTTTATTGATGTTATTAGTATTATCAATCAAACTCACAAGCAACTCTGATACTGGTTTAGGCAGTGATTGTTAGCTTTTTGTATGCATTTTTCTCTACTTCATAGTTAAGACCAATTGTATGATTCAGTGTCATCTGCAAGATATCTGGTTCATTAAATTCAACATTGTTTTTCCCTCTTTTTTTCTAGGGCCTGTCCATGGTGTTGGAAAATCATGAATTCAACTAGCATGAAATTTTTTGAAGGGAATATGAGTGGTGTTAGGTCTCATCAATTAAAAAAATTCTACTGCCTGGTGTCAAGATCTCATGAATTTAACACACATATATAGGGAATAAGTTGAATTGCCAAGATTTTGTGAATTCAATGAGCATGTTATATCCTAGGAATAGTTTTATCTAACAAGTGTTTTTCCTTGAATTTGAAACCCATTAAGGTTATTCATGTTTAGTTATCTCTGACTTGTGAATATCATTTCAACTTAATTTCTCCACAATCTCAAGCTGCTGTAAGGATCTTAGATTTGCAATGTGAAAATTGTGTTAATGATCACAGGCACTTTTGCCTTTGCATCTAAGATTTACAATTGCATACCACCCATTATGTGCTATCTTTGAAAATTGCAATTCTACAATGTACAATACCAATAATTTCTTAATACTAGAATTAGGCATAAAAAAATAATTGACTTGTGTGCAATGTAGTCAAAATCACATCCCTACACGTAAAATTGTACA